ATTGAGAATTTTTTTGTCACATCTTTTTGCATATTTTACTTAGATTATCATGCCATCTGTTCACAAAGGCAGTTTTATTTTTCCTTCCCAATCAGTATCTTTTATTTCTTTTTCTTGTCTTATTACATTAGCTAGTAATTCCAGTACAGTGTTGAAAAGCATTGATGAGAGGGGACATCTTAGCCTTATTTCTGATCTTAATCAGAAAGCTTCAAGTTTCTCAGCATTGTCATAATAACTGTGAGTTTTAATAGGTATTTTTTGTCAGCTTGAGGACGTTCTCCTGTATTGCTAGTTTACTGAGATATTTTTATTATGAATAAGTGTTAACTTTTGTCAGATACTTTTCTGTATCTGTTGGTGTGATCTTGGGATTTTTTTCTCTTCTGATGATGTCATGGGCTACATTAATTGACTTTTGAATATTGAACCAGCCTTCTGTATCTGGGATAGATTCCACTTGATTGTGGTGTATAATTATTTTTATATGTTGTTGGATTTTAGTAGCTAAAATTTTATTGAGTTTGACATTGATATTCACAAGAGATATCAGATATACAGAGATATCATATATACAGAGATATTGGTCTGTATTTTTTTTCTTGTTCTAGCCTCATAGAATGAATTAGGAAGTATTCTCTCTGCTTTAATCTTTTGAAAGATATTGTAGGGAATTGGTATAATCTCTTCTTTAAATACTTGATATAATTCACCAGTGAACCAGTTTGACCTAGTCCTTTCTTTTTTGGAAGTTTATGAATTATTTATTAAATTTACTTCACAAATATAGACCTAGTCAGATTGTTCATTTCTTGTGTGAGTTTTGACAGATTGTGTCTTTCAAGGAATTGGCCCATTTCATTGTTGTTATGAAATTTGTGGGCATACAAATTGTTTATGATATAGTATTCCTTTATATGTTCGTAGGGTCTCTTGTGATGTTCCCTTTTTCATTTCTGAGATTAGTAATTTGTGTCCTCTCTTTTTTTCCCCATACTTATCTTGGCTTGAGTTTTATGATTTCATTGATCTTTTCAAAGAACACTTTTGTTTTTTTAAATTTTTATTTATTTATTTTTAGACAGAGGGGAAGGGAGGGAGAAAGCGAACATCAGTGAGTGGTTGCCTCTTGCATGCCCCCTATTGGGGACCTGGTTTGCAACCCAGGCGTGTGCCCTAACTCGGAATCGAACCAGTGACCCTTTGGTTTGTAGGCTGGTGCCCAACCCACTAAGCCACACCAGCCAAGGCATCATGATTTTGTTGGTTATCTCACTTAATTTTCTGTTATCAAGTTCATTGATTTCTGCTTTTATTTTTTTTATTCTGTTTTTTTTGTTTGTTTTAATTTGTTCTTTTCTCTATTTTCCTAAGATGAAATTTTATATGATTGACTTTGGATCCTTCTTTTCTAATATATGCATTCAATGCTATCAGTAATCCTGCCAAGCACTGCTTTTGCTGCATCTCATGCATTTTGATATGTTGTATTTTAAGTTTTAAATTTTTCCCTGGGAGTTTTTTCTTTGACCCATGTGTTATTTAGAAATGTTTGCTTAATCTTGCCGATATTTTGGGACTTTCTTGCTGTCTTCTGGTTATTGATTTCTAGTTTAATTGCATTATGGTTTGAGAGCAGACATTGTATTTAAAAATTTAAATGTGTTAGCATTTGTTTTATGGTCCAGAATGTGGTCTCTTGGCAGTGATCCATGTGAGCTTGAGAGGGATGTTTTTTGGATGAAGTAATCTATAGATGTGCATTATATGCAGTTAATTGATGGTGTTGTTGAGCTTTAATATGCCCTTCCTGATTTTCTGCCTGCTGGATCTGTCCGTTTTTGTTAGGGGGATGTTGATGTCGCTGACTGTGTAGTGGATTCACCTGTTTCCTTTCACCGTTCTATCAGTTTGTGCTTCACATGTTTGATGCTCTATTGCAGGCATTAAGGATTGTTATTTCTTTTTGGAGAAATAACCTCTATGTTATTATGTAACACCTTTCTTCCCTGATAACTGGCCTTGATCTGAGTTCAGCTCTGTGTGACTTAATGTAGCTACTCCTGCTATCTTTTAATTAGTGTCAGCATTGTACATCTTTTGCCATTAAATTTATAAAATTCATAATTTATAACATTTATGCAATTCTTTATATTAAATTTAGGATTTCACTTCCCAGTGTTGAAGCTTATAATTCAGCTAACATGACAAACCACTTTTGACCTCTGACGATATATTAACTCTTCCCTGGCTAAACCCTCATATGAATAACAGTAATCAATAAGAATATTCTTTTGTCATTTTAGTTGCTGAGCTTTTGGTGACCAGTCATTTGTTCTGCTAGATTCCATGGGGTTTTGATTGGAAACTTTGTTCCTTAATTCTGGTATGTTCAGCTCAGAAAGTTTCTTAAATTAAATGAGCCATTCTAATACTGTACCAGGCATTTTATATTACTGTTACTGCATGCAATTCTTAATCAGCCAGGATTTACTGGGACACTCTAGAGCCAAGTTTTCAGCTACTTCTCTATTTCAGTAGTAGATAAATACATATAGCTTCAGCAGCTGTGCAGGTAACATAAGTAAGAAAAACAGCTTGATGTGGCAATCACTTTGATACATTAAACTGCGCTGTCCCGTTCCTAAAGGTATCCATACACAATTTTTCAAGCATTGCCCACCAAACCCAAGTCAGAGGATAGAATGGGTGAATTTAAAATGCTTGGATGAGGGCAGCTAATCCTTCTTGTCCAAATACAAATGCTTTCACACATATCATTAAGTAAAAGTCATAATTTTAATGGAGAAGATGAACAGGTTTCTGGTTGGGAACATGGTATTATTACTTTGGAGGCCAGTTTGGCAGATTTAAAATGCAGTTGTTAGTGGTCATACATGAGGGTCAGCAGTCCCGCTTGCAGGCAGCTACTTTGGAGACTCTTCCCCATGTGTGTGGGACGAGACGGGATATATTCACTGCACTGGGACGTGCAGAAGTGCCAAGTGTGGAACACATACTCCCCCCTCCATGGGGGGTGGGAGGGCAGACTGGGGTTTCACTTCTCCAGTACATTACACTCTAGCATTTGTCTAATGATAAAGCTACCTACATCAACATGGAAAAAATGCAACATGCTGTTCCATGTTCCCATAATATGTGAATTGTATGAGATTCAAAACAATAGTATACATTACTTATGGGTATATTAATATGTAGTAAAGAGATAAAGCATGTATTTGTGCATGATAACAATGCACATTAACACCATTCCTTACCTTTAAAAAGAGAACACGAGAGAATGGGGCTTTACATTTGTGGTAATTGGTTCTTTAAAAATGTCCAGAGCTTTGAAAACAAGAGTCAACAATGTATTTAATCTCTGTGATAGAGACATGGGTGCATGTTGTTATTTTTTGTACTTTTCTGATATTTGAAATGTTGCATAATTTTTAATATGTGTGTAAGTGTGAAAGAAAAATTATGCAACTCTGTGATAAGAAGTTTGTCTCTACTTTTACTGCTTTGTAGTGTATTTTTCTTTTTTTCTTTTTGCCCCCCTGTGGTCATTCAGGGAAGTGTTGGGTAGAAGGCATCTGTTGAACTAAGCAAAGGAAGGAGCTTACTTGTTTGAGCAAAGAGTGGAAGAGTGCCTTTCCATGGCAGACAGAACAGCGCTTAAAAATCATGGAGGCAAGAGAGGGCATACGTCCATAAAATGAAGGAATGGAGGTAATTGAGCGTAGCTGGAAGCAAAGAAAGGGCGTGGACGAGTAGTGAATGAGATGGTTGTCAATTCAGACTGATCCCATTCTAGAGTGATTGTGCTAGCATGCCATAGAATAGGGACTAGGAACTAACCCTTAAATGTAGGATACTGTTCTTTAAAATTGCCACATCTATTCTCTTATTCTAACAACTGTTTGAAAGAGGAAACCTATGTAATAGAGAATTATAGTCCAGAGTAGGATTAGACAATTTGTCATGCTAGTTTTTGACATACCTCTGTGTAAAATCCAGCACCTCCCCTATGAGTGATACCTTCTGTTTTGGTGCCATTTGGCTGAGGAAAATGGAGAAGAGCTACATGAAAAATGTTGTGTTTCATTCTGAGACGACTGGCTACTCTGGAGGCTTATTCTCCTAGTTCTTCCAGGTTTTTAGGAGATGGAAGCCTCTCTATAAAATAAGATTAAATTGAAAAACCAGATGCTGTGTACTCAGGACCGGTTCATCATTGCCGACCACACTGCTTTTTAAGGACTTTTGCTCGTGTGAGCCGATAAGCATTGTGTTTTGTATTAGTGGGGAGTGGAGTGAGGGAGGAGGTCACAGGCAGGGAGCGTTAGCAATATTCCAGGTAAGAAATGATGTTAGTCCTCACTGAAACTATGGCTATTGGAAGTGACAGGTTCAGGATAGAATTAGAAGACAGTAGGTACTAAAAATGTTCTATGAGTAGGTTTTTATTTTTAGTGAGTTTGTGAGATGGGACAAGGAAAGGAAGAAAGCCTGAGAAGTGGGGAGAAATAATGGGTTTTAGGTACTTTATGCATATTGAATCATTATAGATGAGGACTTAATTTTAATTTTAGTATATTTCTAGTGTCAGTCACAGAAAATGTTGGTGATAACTAATCAATAACCCAGTTTTATTTTCCTTTAATTTTTAATGGTTTTCTCTCACTCAAAATCATTTCATGGCTCCTTCTGCAGGGGTAAAGTTGTTTGCTGTGTGAACCATCTAACAGTCGTTCCCAGAGCCGGAGGGCTCTGATGAGCAGTGGGAAGAGGGCTAATGGGGAGTTCGGTCTTACGGTTCGTTATTGACCTTCTAACGTAATGTGACTCACCGAATTGCTTTGGGGTTTAACTTTTTATTATTGAGTTAATAGCAGCTTTCCATTAGAAAATAGAAAGTCCCCTGAATGAAATACCATTGGTTCATGAGCGTTTCCTAATAGGGACGAATTATAGGAGCCTCTTTTTCTTACCCACAGGGCAAAAGCTGGATCGTTAAAAGAAGCTACGAAGACTTCCGAGTGCTGGACAAACACCTTCACCTGTGCATTTATGACCGACGGTTCTCCCAGCTCTCGGAGCTCCCCCGTTCGGACGCCCTGAAGGGCAGCCCAGAGGTAGTGAACTGTGTGAATCAGCAGCAGTTCCTGCTTGTGCAGGAATGAAAGCTTACGTTGCACACTCAGGACGATTCCTGGGCTTATTTAACTATTTCATTAACAAAAAAGCCTCATATTTTAATAATATATAAATGAGCAATGTATATAAACAGACATTCATTCTCCAAAGAGAATATAAAATATGGAAGCAAAAATATGAAATACTTTGACTTCAGTAATAATCATACGTGGATATTGAAATGATGCTGTTTACTTATTAATGATAGCAGGCCATATCTACTCATCTACCTCCATTCCTGCCGCATAGTTCTACTAGAAATATAAACGATTTAAAACTTTTTAAAGGGATGAATTTTTAAATAACATCAGAAAATGAAAAGAATCATCAGGGAATAAGAAATTATGAGGAATGTTTGAAAGTAGATGGGGTAAGATTTAGGATGACAAGAAAGTAGAGCATAAAATGTGCAAGCAGACTGCAGAAGGCAGATGAACGAGAGCTCTTCCAGGTAAAAACAGCATGTGGTCATGTGCCGTGTGACGATGTTTCGGTCCGTAACGGACTGTGTGTATGATGGAGGTCCCATAAGATTATAATGGAGGTGGACATTTTCTGTGTCCTAGTGAGGTGGTCGCTGTCATAACCTCATAATGCAGTGCATTACTCAGGTACTCAAGTGTTTACGGTGATAGAGGAGTATCGACATACCTGCTGTGCTGCCAGTCACATAAAAGTGTAGCACGTGCAATTATGTACAATACACAATACTTGATAATACATGACTATGTGACTGTGTTTACTATAAAATACTTCGAGTGTACTCTTTTTACTTAATGTGCCATGTTAATGCCCGCCAGCAGTCTCATTCCTCTCATATTTATTATGCCTCTTGGTTGTATCATTTTCGCTTGTGCATGATTTAATCTCATGTTGGTTTGCACAGTAACATGCTGTACAGGTTTGTAAGAGCCATAGGCTACACCATATAGCCCAGGTGTGTAGTGGACTACACTGTCTGGGTTTGCGTATGTGCGTGTACTCGGTGATGTTTGCATAGTGATGAGATCCCCTGAGGATGCATGTCTCAGAGTGTATCCTCATCAGTTAGGCGGCATATGACCGTGAACAAACAGGAGGGCAAACAGAGGGCCTTGAGGAACATGGTTAGTGTACTGAGAGAGTGATGCAATCTCATTCATAGAGTGAGAGCAGAACTTTGCAAAAGTAAAATAATCAAGAGATCTTAGAAATGAACAAACATATGGTCGTGTAAATTAATATTAATGATAGCAAACCTGAATAGCTGGACTACATAAAAAATTGACACAGATAGAGAATTAGCTGAAAGATCAAGTTTTATAAGAATACAGCCCCAAAAGGTATAAAAAAAGTTGCAAGAGAGTAGTTGGGATACGTGGAGAATAGATTGAGAAGTCCCTACAAAAATTAATATAGGAAAATTCCCTAAAGTTAAAAAAGGCATATTTTCTAGTTAAATGGTCCCATTAAATGCTAATGAGTGAAAAGACACACATCTAGAAATGTATAGTAAAAATTTCAAAATGGCAAAGCAGAGAGAAGATCAAAAAGTCTCCTAGAGAGCAAACAACAGATTTTTCTCAAGAGAACAAGAATTGTATTAACATTAGACTTCTTGGCAGCCACAGTGGATGCTCAGAAACAGTGCAGAATTCTTCCACATCCTGACGGGGCCCATTTCAATTCTGTCATTAATTCCAGAGCAAGTAAGGATGTAGGGCAAAGCAGCAACACCATCAATTGTGTAAGAACTGACACTATAGCAGAGTCTTGGAAACATCTTAAAACCACAGATTTTTTTGTACCACAGAGAATCTGTATGCCTCTCTATCTCCATTTCCCATATCTGTCTATCTGTTGCATGCTTTTTCTCTCTCATACTGTCTCAGAACGGGGTCAGTACCAGCAGGTGCGGGGTTTATATCTATTTTAAGACAGCAGCCATTCTGAGCTGAAATTTTGTATCATGATTTCTGATTCCCACAGTAACCCGCGTTAGGCCAGGTCAAGTTGCATCACATTCCAGGACCAATCAGCCGACCCAAGAGCTGGGGTCATGTGTTGCACGGCTGTCCTGCTGCGGTGGGAGAAGGACCGCAGGTCCTGGGGAAGGAGTGTCAGGGTCACTGGGAGCAGCTGGGCAGAAGAGCCAAGTGTGTCCTTGCGATTAGTATCTTTTAGGTTTCCATGCAAGAATAGAAAGAAAAAGCAATGACATTAGAAGCTGTAAAGTAGGCTGTCCCCTGATGACGTGTGAAATGTTAAAGTTGTGTGCAAGACTGGGTCTTGGCAGGTAAGTACCCGTAGTTTGTGTTCAAGGAACTGTTATGACTCCGTGAAGAACCCTCTGTGACTAATGCCAAAAAACTGAAGGTTTGCTTCTTCTCTAGAAACAACCAATTTACAGTAGTTCCTCCAACACGCACCCTGTTGCATCTTTACTCTGAGCCACCACTGAATCTTCTCTGTCTTTTCAGTCAGTCACTCAGATGCTCGCCGCCTACCTGTCCCGCCTCTCAGCCATCGCGGGCAACAAGATCAACTGCGGCCCTGCCCTGACGTGGATGGAGGTACACTCCAGCTCATGCTTGTTGGGTTTATTTTTAAATTGGCCACTTAAGAGATTTAATATTAGTTTAATTTTGAGAACTGTTGAGTTTTAGGAGTGACAAAATGCAGTTTCTTCTATATTCTGGAAAGGATATATGACACATTAAATATTTTTCATGTCAAATCTTTCTTTGACGGTCCAGGAATATAGTTTTAATACTGTTATTTTGGTGTTTGGTATCTTAATGTGTACATTTAGAAAGGTATGTATGTATTTTCAGTTGACTTAGTAATTGAAATATTTTTTAGTTATTTTATGAACAAGAGGCAACCTTTAAAGGGTCTGATGTAAGGATAAGTCTTGGGTGGCTTTTGGTCAGGATGACAGAGGTAAACTCTGTGCTCACCTCCTTCTGTGACCATGTCAAAGTCACAGCCGAATATAGAAGAGCCATTACTGAGAACATTTGAATACTAGCTGAAAAGAATTCCTGTAACTAAGGATATAAAAAAGAATTCAGGTTGAGATTGGTAGGAAGGATGACATGGAACAGGCAGGTCCCAGTCCATGGTGTGGTGACTAAGAATCGGGAGGGGGTCTCAACTCTGCAGGTCTCCCCTTAGAAGCACATGGTCCCAGCCTTGTACCAGCCTCCCTAGCCCAGGGTTTTAGTGCCAGGAAGAAAAGTCCCCACAACAGTTTCCTGTGAAAACCAACGGGGATTGCATCTGTGGAGGAAAAAAAGATGTCAGAGACCTGGGTGGTCCTCTTAAAGGGCCTGTGCATGGACTCATTTGCTCACCGACTCACTGGCACTGAACTCCTGCACAGGCAAAAACAAGTCAACGATGCCAGGGATGTGCAGGCAGGAAAAACGCTTATTCACTTCAGGGTGAGGGCTATTTGGCAAAGGTCGTGTGCCTCGCTCTGGGGCAGAAGTGCTAGCAGACATTGTTGTTACCTTGTTGAGCTCTGCTTCCACCCAGCTAGCCCAGGGAAGGAGAGCACCAAATCTGAGCTCTCTACTAATCTGGCTAACTCTGTTCACCCTCTCTTAGTGAGTCCCTGAGACCCCATCCATTCATCTTGCCTGCCCACCTCAAGTGGCTCCTTTACACACGTGGTCTGCCTGAGTTCCTGCTATAGACTTTCCTAAAATATCTCAAACTTCTCTAAACCCTAAACAAGCTGCTGCATGCTTGGTAGTTATTTCTGAGCGTCCTCAAAGCCAGCACAAGCAGCGACAGGTCTCAATTTACATTGTAACTTCCATCAGGTGGCTCCATGCTTGGCATAAGTGGCAGTCAGTTTTATACCAGAAACTAGCTTTAGTTAAGCAGCTCAGTACAAGTGGCGGCCGGTCTCAGCTCATGCTGTAGTGCCCACCAGAGGATCACAAGTTCAGCACACATGCCAGCCAACTTCATTACACAAGTAATGAAGTGTAGCCTTTCCCAAATACCTCCAAGCTCAACACAGGTGGCAACCTACCACAGATCACTTTGCACCTTCTACCAAGAGGCTTCCAAGCACAGTGCAAATGATGGCTGGCCTTGTTCTGCACCAGTGCTCCTCCTAAGAGGTCCAGAAAGAACACACCTGGCAGCCAGCTTCAGACCACACGAGAGTACCACCACCCATCTCCACAGATGACATACATGAAGGATGGACTCAGCGGGCACCCAAACCCTGCAAAAGTCTCTCCCTTTCTGTGGAGTCAGCTCCTGCACAGCTGATTCACTGTCCTTACAGCTAGCCCCCAAAGGCAGTGATCTTGAGGGTCAGCCCCACCCACTGGTTTTTGAACAGCAATTGAAGTTAAATACTACAGGAGGGTACACACAGGGAACATCCCTAGAGCACTTGGCTTGTGTGACTAGAGAGGCTGCATCATGGGGAACCACAGGACACCTTCTATATAAAGCCACTGTGAAGTCTAGGAGACATAGCAGATCTACCTAATACTTTCAGACAAACACAGGGAGTCAGCCAAAATGAGGAGGCCGGAAAAAAAAATGTCTCAAATAAAAGAACAGGACAAAACTTCAGAAAAAGAACGAAAGGAAATGAGACAAGCAATTTGCCAGATACAGAGTTCAGAACACTGGTTATTAGGATGCTCAATGAAGGCAGGGGGAGAAGAGATGGACTCATTGAGGACTTCAACAAAAGAGATTAAAAATGCAGAAAGTGAGATAAAACTGTAAAAGAGAAGTAGTCAGAAATGAAAAATAAAAAAAACTGAAATAAAGACTACATTAGAAGAAATCAAGAGCAGATTAGATGAAGCGGAGGACTGAATCAGTGATTTGAAAGACAAGGTAGCAGAAAACACCCGATTGTAACAGCAAAGAGAAAAAGAATTTCAAAAAATGAGGATAGTTTAAAAGGTCTCTGAAACAACATCGAGCATACCAACATTTGTGCAATAGGACTACCAGAAGGTGAAGAGACTGAGCAAGGGATTCAAAACCTATTCGAAGAAATAATGACGGAAAACTTCTCCAACCTGGTAAAGGAAATAAACATACAAGTCCAGGAAGCACAAAGAAACCCAAACAAGATGAACCCAAAGAGGCCCACACTAAGATATCATAATTAAAATGCCAAAGGTTAAAGACAAGGAGAGAATCTTAGAAGTAGAAAGAGAGAAGCAGTTACCTACATGGGAGCTCCCATAAGACTGTGTCAGCTGATTTCTCAATAGAAACCTTGAAGGCCAGAAGGGATTGGCAAGAAATATTCAAAGTGATGAAAAGCAAAAACCTGTACAACCAAGACTGCTCTGCCCAGCAAGGCTATCATTTAGAATAAAAGAGGAGATAGAGTTTCCCAAAAAAGAAAAAGCTAAAAGTTCATTACCACAAAACCATTTTACAACAAATGTCAAAAGAGTCTTCTTTAAGTAGAAAAGATAAAAATAGGGATAAGAAAATATCAGAAAGAAAATATTCTCACTGAGGTAAACACTTAGTAGAAATAGTGGGTCAACCAACTATAATAGTAGTTAGTACACAGGTTAAAAAGCAAAAGCAGAAAGATCATGTGTCATTGTGACAACAAATTAAGGGATTCATACAAACACACACACAAAGCAAGTAAAAAACAATGACAAAAATGTAAATGTGGAAGGGACGAACCTAAAAATTGTAGTGATTGATGAATGTGTTTGAATTTAAGCTACCATCAGCTTCCTGACTGGTATGGCTCAGTTGGTTGGGCATTGTCCCCCATAGCAAAAGGTCACCAATTAGATTCCTGGTCAGGGCACATGCCTGGGTTGTGGGTTCAGTCCTTAGTTGGGGCGCGTATGAGAGGCAACCAATCGATGTTTTTCACATGGGTGTTTCTCTCCTTCTCTTTTTCCCTCCCTTCTTCTTTCTCTAAAAAAATAAATACACACATAAAAATTGATAAAAACAGACTGCTGCAAGCACAGCTTGGTTTATGTGAAGCACATGGCAACCTCAAACCACAAATCTATAAAAGATATACAAGAATAAAAGAGAATGACAAGAGAATAAAATATAACACTATAGAATATTATCAACATAGAAGAGAAGATAGCAGGAGAATAAGAAAGGAAGAGAAAACTACAAAAACAATCAGGAAACAGTTAATAAAAATGACCAAACAATATCTATCAATAATTACTGTTAATGTAAATGAACTGAATGCTCCAATAAAAAGACATGGGGTGGCTGAATGCAGAACATACATGACCTGCATATGTGCTGCCTACAAGAGACCCAGTTCACATCATAAAATGTACACAGGAAGTAAAGTGTTGGAAAACGAGAATGCATCAAGAATAAAAGAGAGAGGGCTTAGATAAATAAAGACATAGTGAAGAAAAAGTGACAGCTGAGACCACAAAAATACAAAGAATTATAAGAAAATATTACGAGCAGTTATGTACCAACAGATTGGACAGCCTGGAAGAAATGGAAAAATTCCTAGAAACATACAGTTATCCAAGACCAAATCACGAGGAAACAGAAAACCTGAACCAACTGATAACTACTAATGAAATTGAATCAATAATAAAAAAACTGCCAGCAAAGAAGTATCAGACCAGATGGCTTGACAGAGGAATTTTACCAAACATTCAAAGAGAAATTAACATTTGTCCTTTCAAGCTATTCCAAAATATTGAGTAGGAGGGAAGACTCCTAAACTAATTTTATGAGGTTAGCATTATCCTGTTATCAAAATCAAAGACACTACAAAAAAAGAAAATTAGAGGCCAATATCCCTGATGGACGTATATGCAAAAATCCTCAACAAAATATTAGCAAACAAATTCAGCAATATCTAAGACATTCATATGCCATGACCAAGGGGGATGTGTTCCTGGGATACAAGGTTGGCTCAGTCTCTGCAAAATAATTAGCATGATACACCACATAAACAAAATGAAGGATGAAAATCATGTGATCATTTTAGTAGATACAGACGAAGCCTTTGACCAAATCCCACATCCATTTGTGATAAAAACTCTTCTGTATGGTGTAAAGTGGAGTAGAGGGAACAAGCACACCTCAGCCTACAGAAAGGCCACATGTGACAAACCTACAGCCAGCATCATACTCAGTAGTGAAAAGCTGGAGCTTTTCTTTGAAATTAGGAACAAGGCAAGGATGTCCACTTTCGCCACTTGTATTCATCATAGTATTGGATATACTAACCATGGCAATTAGACATAATAAAGAAATAAAGACATTCCAAATGGTAAGGGAAGAAGTAAAACTGTCCTTATTTGCATAAGACATGTTACCATATACGTAGAACCCTAAAGATTCCATCAAGAAGCTAGAATGAATTCAGTAAAGTCGCAAGATACAAAACTAATATACTGAAATTGGTTACATTATAATACACAAATAATGGATTGTCAGAGAAAGTAAGAAAGCAATTATATTTACAATAGCATCAAATAGAGAAAAATATGAATAAATTAACCAAGGAGGAATAAAAGACTTATACTCTGAAAACTTTAAGACATAGTAGAAAGAAATTCAAGAAGATACAGATAAATGGAAGCATATACCGTGTTCATGGATAGGAATAATTAACATTGTTAAAATGTCCACACTACTCAAAGCAACCTGTAGATTCAGTGCAGTCCCTATCAAAATACCAATGGCATTTTTCACGGAATTAGAACAAATAAGCCTAAAATTTATATGGAACCAGAAAAAATAGCAAAGTTGGAGGTATTACACTTCCTGACATCAAACAATACTACAAGCCTACAGTAATCAAAACAGCATTTTTGCTGGTGTAAATATAGACACATAGATCAATGGAATAAAATAGAGATCCTAGAAATAAACCCATGTCTATGTGGTCAACTAACCCATGACAAAGAAAGCAAGAAAATACAGTGGGGTAAAGGCAGTCTCTTCAATAAGTGATACTGGGAGAACTTGGTAGATAACATGAAAAAAAAATGAAACTAGACAACTTTCTTACACCAGTAGAATAAACTCAGAATCAATTAAAGACTGAAGTGCAAGGCCTGAAACCATAAAACTCATAGAAGAAAACTTAGGCAGGAAAATTTTGCCATTACTCTTAGCAGTATTTTTGGAAGTATGTTTTCTTGGGAGAGGGAGACAATAGTAAAATAAACAAATGGATCTACATCAAACTAAAAAGTATTTGCACAGCGAAGGAAAGCATCAAGAAAGTGAAAAGAGCCTAATGAGTGGGAAACCTTATTTGACAACCATACAATGTATTATATCCAAAATATATCAGGAATTATACAAGTTTACACCAAAAAATATGCTCCAATTAAAAGCAGGCGGAAGACCAGAATAGACGTTTCTCTAAAGCTATACAGATGGTCAGTAGACATTTGAAAAGGTGCTCAATATTCTTATTCATTAGGGAAATGCAGATTAAAACCATGATGAGATATCACCTCGTAGCTGTGAAAAATGACTGTTGTCAATAAATCAAGAAACAAATACAGGCAAGGATGTTGAGAAAAGGGAACCCCTTGTGCATTTTTGGTGGGATTGTAAATTGGAACAGCCACTATGGAAAATAAAAGTTTCCTTGGAAAATTAAGAATAGAACTTCTATATGACCCAGCAATTCCATTTCTGGGTATTTATCTGAAGAACCTGAAAATACTAGTTAGAAAAGTTATATGCACCCTTATGTTCTTTGCAGCATTATTTACAATAGCCAAGATATGGAAGCAACCTAATTATCCATTGTTAGTCGAATGGATAAAGAAGAAATGGCACATATATACAATGGGGTATCACTGAGCCATAAAAGAGAATGAAATCTTACCATCTGTGACAACATGGGTGAACATAGAAAGTAGTGTGGCATGTGCAGTGTCAGGCAGAGAAATACAAATATTGTCTGAATCACTTGTGTGTAGAGTCTAAACAACAGAATAAACAGAATAGAAAAAAGGAATAAGTCTTAGATGATACCATATCCAGTAAATATGTTAGGTATTTTTCTGTAATTTGTGTATGCAGAGTTATATTATTCTTTTCTCATTGGGAGTCAGAAAGCAGGATGGAAAGTAGAAAGACTGTAGAACTGACCGAAGCCAACTTGCACTGAGGTCTTTGCTCCTTTATTATTGTCTCTGTGACCTTGGAGACATTATTTAATCTGTCGAAAATGGTATAACCGCGTTTTAGCTTTAGCATCTTCATTTTCAAATAATGATAATGATCAGTATCTTTTAGAGTTATAGGGAATAAATTAGGTCATATGTTATATGTACAGCACAATGAATGGCATACATTAAATATTCAATAGATGATAATATGGTTTTAAAGAAAATTCTTTTGGTTACAGTTGCCCTAAATCAAATTGATGTCAAAGAACTTTTGCAAGCCTCATGTCTTTCACCCCCTCATACTGTGTTTTTTTGTTATAGATTGATAATAAGGGGAATCACCTTCTAGTACATGAAGAATCATCCATTAACACTCCTGCCGTTGGCGCCGCCCACGTCATCAAGAGGTACACTGCCCGGGCCCCTGACGAGCTGACCTTGGAGGTAAGTGCCTGAAGTTGCTGCTCTGTGTTAGCTCAGTCCCTGCTGCTTTTCTAGCCTCACCCTCAATGTTTTAATCATTTTTTAATCAAAGCACTGGGTTTTTTCATACCCCATTATCTTTTAGCTTGGCATGCCATCTATTTTTACTTAAATGACAGGACTCATCTTTGAAAATTTCAACTTCAGTGTCTCTCATTTCTTCAAGGATGTAATTCTTGATCTCCTTTCCCTACTCCATGCAAATACAACCCGCGGCCCCCCCCCCCCCCCCCCAAAAACAAAACAAAACCAGTGTGGATCGAATGTCATTCAGAACGATTCATGGCCTATCACTGACAAATCACTTTAGTACATTCCACCCTAATTTTTCTCCTGTTTGTCTCTGTCAGCTTCTGGAAGGCCAGGTGTCAGTCTTTTTTTTTTTAACTGCTCTGACACTCAGTTTTTGGCTTCTGTGCCCAAAGGAATGCAGATTTTGGAAGATGCCAAATCCGTTGGCAAGTGTGGCTTTGTGAAGGCGACTCTTTCCTGACCTGACACGTTAGTCGTGAATGTGAAAGAAAACTTCTTACAGCCACACTGCGTACACTGGAGTGATGTTGCTCTGAAGCACTGTGTTGTGTCACAGAGCTCATCACTTACTTTGATCAAAGAATGTAACTTCCATTCAACGTTATCAGAAAATATTACTGTGATTTTACACTTACAATTTTGTAAAAACTTACATAAACTCAACTAGTTTTTTTTTTAGAGTGAAGGAAGTAATAAGTTATTGTACCATCTCTTGAAAGAAGTGTAGCTGTCATTGAATTTTACACTTACTAAGGATAACCCAGTAACCATAGATGTATTAGGCCTTCCTTAGGTGATTAAATAAGATCATGTCCATTGCTCAGCATGGCTCCCTGCACGTGGTAGGCACTCACTAACTGTGGTAGTAATAGAAGCTGCTGCTGCTGCTGTAAGGATGAGCATTCATATCCGTCTTTGTAAGTGAATCTGGTCACTTTAGTAACAGCAGTGACAGTACTTTAACAGGAATATTGACGATGGGTGATGCCAGCCTTCAGAAGTCTTATGCTGTAAGTCTGGCTTTCCGAAGTTCCTCTCACGTTAGACTGGACCACAGCCTCTGGGCTGCTTCGCTTTCTGTGGCCCTCTCCTTAACAAATGATTAAGATGATGAAATTCTTTCCAGAAAGAAGCCTTATGTTTTTCAGAGACAATCACCCTGAGAGTAATTAATTACCCTTTACCTTTTGGTTACAGTCAGATTAAATGCCAGATAAAACAATTGATTTAAAATTTGACTAAAAACATTTCACTTAAATTTTTTCTCCTAGGTGGGCGACATTGTTTCTGTTATTGACATGCCCCCCAAAGTGTTAAGCACATGGTGGAGAGGCAAGCACGGATTTCAGGTAGGCAATGGAGAATCCGGTCGGTGCAGGAGTGTTTCGGGATGGCGTTTCTTGATTCTTCAGTCACACTTCAGTGTGCACACTTACAGCATGCACTGGCACTGGACTCGATCATCAGAAACTCCCTCTGCAGCGACAGAAACATACATGTAGCTGATGTTAGACTTGGACTTTGTTCTCTTCCTACTGTGGTTATTTTTAACCTCTCCTTTTCTAAATGATGATACCGCCGAGGTGAGAGCAGAACCGCGGGCCTTCAGTCACTCTGAGATGATCAGGCTGCGACTCCGCATTGCCTCTGATGCTGGTTTTACATCATGGTTCACATGTATTTTCTTTCCAGATTTAAGTCAGTTTGATCAGTTTTTTCCTTTAAAACACACTTATAATTGTTAATGTTAGTGTGTTTGTTGCAGAACCTAAAGCAATCTCATTTCTTTTCCTATACGTGGCTAGATAATTTTAGGCATGATAATGATACATTTAGGTTCACTAACACTAATTTTCATAGTATAGATAGTTTTCTTTAACCTTTTGAAACTATTACTAAAAGAGTATCTAAAAATGCCTTAATTGTATTCTTAGTATATAACCTGCATTTTTTGTGGTCTATTTATAAAATGTTCCCGAAGTTCTACATAAATCAAATATGCTATGTAATTGAAAATATTAATAACTATTATAAACATTGACCTTTACATAGTAAATAAAAACTAATTATTAGGCTTTTATAAAATGTATTATATTAAAAAATAATCATACAGCAATTAAGAACATGGGCTCCCGTGCCAGCTTTCCTGGATTTCAGTCCTGTGTTATCTTGAGCACGTTATTTAACATCTCTGTGCTCCAGTATTTTAATTGGTAAAGTGGGAATTATAGGACTTTTCTTTACCTTATAAGGTTATTGTAAAGATCAAATCTGTAAGGATAAAGCATTTAAAGTACTTACGTCAAGCTTGATGCATATTTTTCACTCAATAAATGTTGGTTTTAACATTTATATAATTTTTTTATTTTACAAATTTAATTTGGTGCCTTTTTATCTATTATAAAATGTTGATAGCAATTCAATTTGATGATTAAGACCAGAAAAACTATACCCATATTACTCCACAAATTATTTATTTTGTGCTCTGTTAGTTGCTGTGAATAATTGTTACCTTTGATTAAATATAAGAGTAAATAGAAGACTGGAGATATCTTTTTTCTGTTAAAGGATCAATTCTCCAAGTTCATGGAAATGAGATGTGAACTTTAGGGTTTCAAAGATAATCAAAAATATATTTGGCTTTAAAACTAGAGTTATATTTTGATCTAGGTATTGTTACCTTCATTATAATTTTAGACAAGTCACTTTCTTTGGATTATAGTTTCTTCTTCATTAGAAAGCTCCACTTATAATCCTCCTAGTCCTCAGTATTTCAGTTCTGTAACTATAAAAATATCGGCAGATTGTCCCTTCTTTCAGGTAGCACACAAATATTAAATATTGAGTCTGTGCTAGATACAGGTTTAGTCTTCTAATTCTTTTAGAGTCACACAAATTAGTTTATTGCCTAAACAAAGTATTTTTAAAAAAGAATAAAATAGCTAATTAAATTAATTTATTGCCCAAACAAATTATTTAAAATAAAAACAGGATTTTTAAACTTAAGGAATTGACTTGTAATTGCCGATAAAAGGTTTTTTCTATTTAAATGCTCTTTTTCATCCTGACTGGTCTCGGAAAGACTTCTGCATCTGTTTAGATCACACTGGAATATGCCTGTGATTTGTACTGGTAGGGAACCTGTAAAAGCGGGAGCGGGTCTTAAATGCCAGTGTCAAAATTTCATTTAAAACAGAAATCTAGTACTTCAAGGAAAGAACCCTCACAATTCACTCTTCCTCGCTGTTCCTAAGCAATATCATATGCAAGTGCACCTTATTACAGTTTAGTGCAAGGGAGGTGTGAATGGGAGGGCACGAATTAAAGCATCGGTTATGTGGGAAGTATTGCGAAGCCCTTTCTACACGTTTTCTTTAATCTTCACCAAACTTCGTGGTAGTTATTGTGCTCCATTGTATGGAGAGGGTTGCTTGAGAAGGTTGATAAAAAAGTCAGGATGCCAAGCCAGTAAGTGAGGGAGCAGGGACTCAAAGCAGGGCTGCTCAGTCGTTCCCCTGAAGAACACTCAGCATGATTTCTACATTTGGTCTCATATTAGCAACGTTCTCCACCTCGGTTTTCTGCCCTACGGAATGGAATGTCTTTTCTTTGCAGCCAGCAAGGAATGCTACAAAGATTAAGCAGCTGTGGACTGTAAAGCATTTGGGTTTACTGGTGGAAACATTACTGTTCCCAGGTGTTACATTTTTATGTGATGACTAATACATGGTATCTGGTAAAAACTCCTCTTCTGGCTGTTTGTGACGGTCTCTGCCCTTTTTTGGATATTTTTAAATTGTGAGCATATGCCTGTCTCTCCTCAAGTATTCTGTTGAGAGAGGGAGAGAATGGTAATTTACTTCATGTACGGTAGGCCCTGCCCCACCTCATACGATCAGTAGGTTCTGCGACCGTGAGAGAAGCCACATGAAACAAAGCTAGTCATACCATAGGCTAATTGATGTGAACAGAGTCTGTTCCTGTGGCATCTCATCCATTTTACAGTGAAATGAAGGGACGTTGAACGAAATGATGCTATTCCAGGACCTGCTGTATATGATAATTGCAGACCAGATCCCTAGAAAATCCTGATTTTTAAGTTTGAAATAACTGAAATAATGGCTTAGTCCCTTAGTCATCATAATGAAAACAAAACCTAGTGGAAGTTTTAATCAGACAGAACTTAGATCTAACCTCAGTGTGAGAGAATGTACCACTGGAGCCGCCTGGTTAGTTTAGTCAGGGTGGCTCCACCTCATGCCCTGTGGAACCTGCCTGGGTGACATCCCTTTGACTTTCTGCCACATCCCCAATGGGACCCGGTAGAGTGTGTACAAGGAACACTGCTAGAAAACCAGTAGTTCAGGTTCCTAGTATACCTTGTTTGTGTCCTGGATGTATGAGGTCTGTCCGGAAACAGTCCAGTCATTGTTAACACAATGCGAACAGTTTGCGCGACATCGATGTAATCTGGCAGCCAAGGGAGTGGACTGGAATGCGCATGGGTGAACAATGGTGACTTCACTGTACTAGTCAGTGGGGGCAGTAGATGTCCTTGAGTGAGCGTGTGTGCTGTGTGGCTGTCACATTCAAAATGACTGAGTAGAGCAATGAATCAACATCATTCCTCTGTGGAAACTATTTGGATGACTCAGAAGGCTGCAGCTATGGGCAACTTGGCAGCTTTATCACAACAACATGCCTGCTCGTGCATCATGTCTCATGCAGAGTTTTTTGGCGAAACATGGAATTACCCAGGTGGCTCAGTCCCCCTATAGCCCAGATTTGCAGTTTCTGGCTTTTCCCAGAACTAAAATCACCTTTGAAAGGGAAGAGATTTCAGACCATCAGTGAGATTTAGGAAAATACAATGGGGCAGCTGATGGCCATTGGGAGAACTGTGTGAGGTCTCAATGTACCTACTATGAAGGGGACTGAGGCGTCATTGTCCTACATACAATGTGTCTTGTATCTTTAATAAATTCCTCTATTTTTCTTAGTACATGGCTGGATACTTGCTGGATAGACCTCATATTACATCAAGGAGTAATTTATCATTTGAACTTTTAAAAGCCAGGTAACATGCTAAAGGTATTAAAGAAACTTGGTCTTTATATAAGAACATGTTTTTATGTGACTCCTTTTACAAGGGTAATATGTTGATTTTAAAATTTCTCTAATGTAAATTATGTCTGAGCTCCTTGTATTTCATATGTTTTGGTGTAGATGAATGATAGAAATTAAGAATGTAAAGAATAATAATCTTTTTTGTGAGATTTTTTTCTGTTACTGAGTATTGCTGTTTGTAAGGTTCATCCATTCCTTCACTTGATTATTAGATGATATATTAGTTTTCTGGGGCTGCCATAACCACATACTAGGGATTGTATGACTTAACAGAAATTATTTTCTTAGCGTTCTGGAGGCTGGAAGTGCAAGATCAAGGTGTTGCCAGGGTTGGTTTCTTCTGAACCCTCTCCGTGTGGCTTGTAGGTGCCCACCCTTTTACTGTGTCCTCACATGATTTTCTCTCTATGTGCACGTTCTCAAAGTCTTTGTCCCTGTGTCCTAATTTTTTTCTGATAAAGACACCAGTCAGATTAGAATAGGCATGACTTTGTGACCTTATTTAACTTTAATTGCCTCTTCAAAGGCCCTGTCTTCGAGTACATTTTGTGATACTAGGGATTAGGGCTTCACAATATGAATAGGTTTCACCCAGTCCTGGATGGCTAGGTGGTTGGGGTCATGTTAGAGCTGGCTTGACAACTGTTCAGGGACTGTCTCCCACAGACTTGATAAGCAGCGGCGGGGCCCTCCCTGAGCCAGGCCGGCCTGGGCCAAGGGCAGGCAGAGTTTAGGGACCTTGGTTGTGACTGCTGAGAGCTTGAGGAAGCTCTCAAGAGAAAGCACTCTTGGGAATGTCTGCTCCACGGGTGCTCTGCCCCCTGCTGTCCTCAGCAGTGCTGGGCAGTATCTGAGAAGGATCCACCTTGAGCTCACAGTCTAGGTCACTCCTTCATTTCATTCATGGCAGAAGGCCCTCTGGGCATTGGGCACTGTGCCCCCGGGCAGGACAAAGGGATGAGCAGGCCTCTCAGATAAGTGGGAGCCCAGAAGGCTCCTCTGTAAGGTCTAGGAGAGTTTCCTGGAGGAGGTAACTTGGGAGTGCAGAGTCTGTATGTCTTCTGAGGAGAGGATGTCCACATGACCTGGGGGACCAGCCAGACATGGTATAGCCGTGTTGACTGGTTAGCCAGCCTGACTGGCTTTGGTCACACAGGTGGACTCTGTAATCTGGGCTTTGTGAGTCGACCGGGACAGAGGAGGCACAGAGGCCGGAAACCTG